AGTTTATGAGTAATAGTAACATGTTTTTCTACATTAAAAGTGTTTTGTTTTTTCCCCATTAATATGTGTATTATTATCATTTTTACTTGTTAGATTGTTATTAAGTTGGCTAACTCTAGATATTACTGTTATTTTTGATAACCTCATCTACTTTTAACTAACATACAAATTTAATGTTTACTTGAACAGAAATGTTCTGGTATAAAAAATCTATCTTGTCCAAGGAAAATTAATCTATCTTCCACCAAAATAATAAAATATTCCTATTTGTACACATGGTACAAATATTCAGAAATATTCATTTATTACCTTGGTATTTTGTGTCTTCCAATTCTCTTAACTCCTAGAGCAGTGCTAAAATATATAAACTGGGGTTTTAAAAGGTTAAACTTAAACCTCGCACAATATGATGAGCAAGAAAATTATAGAGTTTAATTATATAATTGCTTTAAATTACTTGATATATTATACAGCATAAAACATATTAATTACACTATATCTCATTTTAAAATTCTATAATGTGCTTGTTTCTTCCTTCAATTATGTATTTAATGCTTAGAAAATCTCTACACATTGAAGGTATTTTATGAAAAGTATAATGCTGCAGCTGTTAATCAGCTTGCTATATTACATAATACAGATTTATGGAAGTCATTTCTTGCTCCAAATCTGAGATTATACTTTTGTCCTTCAGCGATATCTCCAAGTTTTTTTTTTTAATTTAGGATCTCGACTTTATAAAGAAATTATTTCCTGATAAAGAAGAAAAATAATTCCTAAATAGCTTTACTTTGTGCAAGTCTTTGAGAAAGAAACCCTATTAGATTTACTTACCACATCTTTACAATACAAATATAAAATAAACCTGTTTGATTTAACATAGATTCTAAGGCCTGAGTTGTGTCCTAGGACAATTTTCATTGATATCTGAACAATACTTTGAAGCATTGTGCAGTTTGTTTTTCATTGTTTTAGTAATCTTGGCATTTTTTTAATTGTACTTAAAGAGATAGTCTACATCAAGTTTATGTTGATCTGGAGTTACATCATTGCAATATTTGAATATAAATGAAAGAAAATGCTCACTGGCCTATGCTTCTCTGTGACACTGCATAACTCCATGTACTTTGAGACTAGGAGAAAAAAGTGACAAAGATGGTGAAATAAGTAGATAGCTGTCTCAAATACTTGGAAATTTAAAAAATTTTTCAAGAGCAACTATATGAGTGGAAAAATGATTGAAAATGGACAACTTTGCTAGATAATTATAAAATTATTTTCCCCTTAGAAATCAAAATCTGCACATACTATTAAATGATTTTAAAGCTGGGTTGATACGATACTGGGTCTTGTTACAATACCGTCAGTCAACATGAATTAGCTCTAATTGTGGAGGATCCTGTGGAAATGCTTGCAGTTTAGAATAGCAGTCACTAAATAAGCAGAACTATATCCTTATCTATCCAGGTAAATGGCACATAGAAACTCTAAACTACTTTAAGCATATATACCAGAAAATGTAAACTAAAAATAGAGTTATGACAGATATTAAATCACTTTTATAAGATAATCAAATTATTAACCTAAGAAAAATTTAAATTTATAGGTGAGAGTTTTCTGGTGTTTTATATGGCTTGCTTTTGGGCAATCTTGTAAAATCTATGTCTACCCTTTTTCAAATAATATTTTGAAATGCAGAAAGTAAAATGAATAGGTAGGGTTACAAAGGAAACTATTTATATTGAAATACAGACCCCAAATTCAGAAACCCAGATAGGCACTAAAATACTTTATGCCTTGCAAATGGTCATTACTATTCAACATAATGGTAAAGCATCTGCCTACAGTGCAGAAGACCCAGGTTTGATCCCTGGGTCAGGAAGATCCGCTGGAGAAGGAAATGGCAACCCACTCCGGTACTTGTTGCCTGGAGAATCCTGTGGACAGAGGAGCCTGGTGGGCTACAGTCCGTGGGGTCGCAAAGAGTCGGACACAACTGAGCGACTTCACGTTCACTTTCACCATAAAATGAACACTCACTAAGAATTTAGGTGAAAGTTGTCAAGTTTTATATCTCAATCCTTTAGAAAACCTACTATGAAACTGAGTATTATGTATGAGACTTAAGCATTGCTGCCTTCAGTTTTCTCAGTTTTCTTAGTTCTCATGTAGTAAGACCTATTCTTAGCCAGTTGTGGAAATAGAAGCCTATCTTGACCTTCTACTGTGTTATCAAAGTTTAAAATATGATAACTTACCCCTTGCCTTAATTGTGGTGGAGCATTTCAATACAGTTCTAACTTCTACCAGTGTTCTTTTCATGTTTCACTTATTAAACATTTTTATTTTTATGGAAATCATAATCATAATTTATAATTTTAATGAATTGGTGAGAAAAATATAAGTAAAATTTAAAACATTGACTATAGCTTCAAACAACTTTTTTACCAATGAAATTTTTTTAAAGGCGTATTTCCTAAAGAGTGACTTGTTTATTAATACTTTAAAGATAATAGTATTTTAAGGACATGGAATGTAGCAACACATTTGAAATATATCTCTAGATTTCACTCACAATAATATATTTCAATTACTAAAATATAGTGTCAAAGAAGTGAAATTGTTTATTCTAATATTTCACTTTCCACTTGGAAAAATTACTTAATGGAATCAGAATAAATCAGATTTTATATAAACAAGTGAAATGTTAGCTTAATTTTCTGTTGGGATAGTCATAGATATTCTAGAAAGTTGTGTTACTATTAATACCTGTAATTTAATGAAATAACTTATTGTTATTTTAAGATAATAAATATGATAATAATGTAAAGATTGGTATCTTCAAAACTAGGTTTAAGGAATCTAAGGTATATATTTATATATATTTAGGCTTCCAAGGTGGCACTAGTGATAAAGAACCCTCCTGCCAGTGCAGAAGACATAAGTACCACGAGTTCAATCCCTGGGTCAGGATGATCCCCTGGAGGAGGGGATGGCAACCCACTCCAGTATTCTTGCCTGGAGTATCCCATGGACAGAGAAGCCTGGAGGACTAAAGTCCAAAGGTCGCAAAGAGTTGGACATGACTAAAGCAGATTAGCATGCGTCCAGTATATAAATATATTGTGTTGAAGATATACAAAGATATGTACACTAACAACATTTAACAGACATTGAGCATTTTTATTTCTAAAGAGAAGTGTTCTCTCTAAAATAGTTTTTCAGGAAGAAAAAATAGAATTCTGATTTCTTACCCTGTCAAGTTGCCTTTTCATTTCTCTCTTTGATAAGTAGTTGGATATTGTGTATTTATTTACTCAGCTTTTTTGACATATTTGGATACACTTATAAAAATACTCAACTTATTTTAAGAAATCAATCATATTATAGTACATGAACATAAAAATAGTTTAAAAAATCTTTTGCCTTCATGTTACCATATGAATATAAAATGTATCTTACACTTGTGATTATCTTAATCACAAAATATGTTGTAGAGTAAATCTAGCATTCAGTTCCTAAAGTCATCTAAGTCTGAATATCTAAATGAAAGTTGCTCAGTCATGTCTGACTCTTTGCGACCCTATGGACTATACAGTCTTTGGGGTTCTCCAGGCCAGAATACTGGAGTGGGTAACCTTTCCCTTCTCCAGGAGATCTTCCCAACCTAGGGATTGAACCCAGGTCTCCTGCATTGCAGGTGGATTCTTTACCAGCTAAGCCACAAGGGAAGCCCAAGAATACTGGAATGGGTGGCCTAGATCTTCCCGACCCAGGAATCAAATGGGTCTCCTGCATTGCAGGCAGCTTCTTTACCAATTGAGCTGTCAGGGAAGCCTAATCTAATATCTAGTGGTCCAAAATTGTAGGCCATGTAATGAATTACATTTGAAAAATTGCGTCCTTTCTTTTATTTTTCTTTAAGCTCTTGCAGTTTTCATTATCAAAAATAAGATCAAGAGAATTTGTAGGTAAAGTGGAAGGCCTTAGTACATTAGTCTTGAGGGATACTAAAGCTTTCTTTGGTATTTATAATATATAAGCATTTCCAATACTGTTGTTACAACTATGTGGGGAGATAATAGTTTCTTTGAAGTATACTTTGGAATTCTAGAATCAAAACTAGTGTTTTGGGGGCTGTTCCGCAGATAGTGGGGTGATCTTAGAAAACATTTACAAATTGCATGTTAGATGTAAAAGCATTATGCTAGACTCCAGGGATACAAAAATTAGTGCTGATAGCTTGCTTAAGTATACTTATTTAAAGAAGGATTAAATTTTGATGTTGGATTTATTTCTAATCAAAGAAATTACATTGTTTCATACTTACTGTTTCAGTCAATTAATGCTCATTCTGAATTGCATTGGTTGGCATTGTTAAAGTGTGATGAATTAAATGATATAAAATGGTTGATTTACCAGTTTCCTGAAGAATGATTTTTCTTGTGGACCATATTTAAATATGGCTACAGACTGCAAAGTTGCACTGTTTTCTCATAACATTTGGATTCAGTCACTTGAACATTCAGGTGTATCAGTATACTCCAATTGTGCTGAAAGCCTTTTTTAATTTTAGTTGGTATACTGTTTATTAGTATAAACAGCCTTAGCAGCTTGAGAATTAGTGCCTTTATGGTTTTCTTTACTCTTTTACAAATGTTGGGAAGTCATTTAGTTCTTTCCGAATAGAATGCTTCACATATTTCACGTGTTCCATTTAAGGAATTCATTTTGGAAAACAGATAATTTTGTTTTGATTATAACGGAGCAACTCCTATTATCTTCACTGGGAATTGCTATTAAAGGCAGATGTTGGTTCCTTAGAAATTCTTATGGAGTTTAGTGAGAATTAATGCAGCATATGTTGGGGAAGAGAACATTTTTTTCCATACTCAATAATCTTAAACAATTACCTTTTTCAAAATCAGTTTGATGCATCATAACAAAATAGCAGAAAGGCACTAAAGATCAACTGAGCTGCTTTTTGACTAACGTTTCAGGGATTGTGAAGCAGCAGATAGACAGCCATATCACAGATCCAGATCAACAGAACAGCGGCCTCTGCTAGAGCGGACCACCACCCGCTCCAGATCCACTGAACGTCCTGATACAAACCTCATGAGGTCGATGCCTTCATTAATGACTGGAAGATCTGCCCCTCCTTCACCTGCCTTATCGAGGTGAAAGATAAATCAATCAGACTAACTTCCCCTTTGCCCCACCAGCACACCATTTTATTTTCCCAGCAGCTAAATGGTCTCTTCTGTCATCCTTGGCTGATCACTAATAACAATCGACACTAACCTTTTCAGTGTAAGCACACTATTTATATTCCGTGGATATAATAGTGTGTGGCTACCATTGTAATTTGTTTATTAACTGTCCTGACCACATTTGTTTTGTGATTTCTCATTTATCAGGAGTCCTGGGTATTCCCCACATAACACACTTCATGGCTATCATGTTCTTCTACAGAATGAGAAATTGTTTGTGTCCATTAGACATCACTTTTGGATAACCATCCTAATAACAATAGTTAAAACTAGATTTTTGGTTTCTTTCTATCACTACTAATATGTATTAACCAATATCTTCTTTAGCTGAATTTTGAATTATTCAGGGTTTTATTTGTAGTTTCATGAGATAATTTATAATAAAGGGATATCTAATATAAGCCTGAGTAAAAATCTCTTAGGATCAAGGGAGGGAGGTTAGTGTTAAAGAGTTTGAAATCTGGTAGAAAGAAATGTGAAGCATTATCTTTTACTTTTTGAGCTGCAGACTTCTCTCCTTGCTTTCATAGGGATAGAATTTCAGTTTACATTAGTAATTCCATGGATTTTACTGTAAGACTTTGTGTGCATGTATCTGTGTATGTATGCATATTACATGACAGTAGAAACATCTTCTGCTATTTAGATAATCATTCAAATATCCATATTTTGTCCTACTTTTCCTAACCTTTTAATCAGCAGCTAAACCTCCTTTAAAATTGCACCATACAACTATCATATGAACCAAATATATTAAAAATATTTAACACATTCTATTGAAAATGAATATTAATGATGTATCTTGTAGGTCTCACCCTCGTACTGGGTCTGTCCAGACAAGCCCATCAAGTACTCCAGTGGCAGGACGAAGGGGCCGGCAACTCCCACAGCTTCCACCAAAGGGAACATTGGAGAGAAGTAAGTTTTATTTCTAACTGTGTCATATAGGATATACACATGGAAGCTAAGGTGAATCAAGATTTTTTTTTTTACTACTTTTGTATGAGCTTTCTTCTTTTATTATTTGAGTACCTTAGCTGCATTTTTAGTAGTTGTATTTGCAAATACCTTTATAAATATTCTATATTTTACATTTAAAATCTATAATATTTGGAGGCAAAATAACCTATCATATTGCTCTTGCACATTTTTCAAATTTTAATAAATGCATTTTAAGAAGTAAATTTAATGATCTTAAATAAGCAGTTGGATGATATTTCTTTGCTACAACTAAGTTTATGTAATTGTTGATAGTTACATAAAGTTTATTAGTAACTAGCCAAATCAATTTTCACACACTGCAAAGGACTGTTTAGCTGATGCACAACAATGGTGATCCTTCTCAAAACTGGAGTGCCAGAAAAAGGTAATCATGAATATACAAAGAAAGATGCATGTTGTACTGATATTTTTAATACTTTCAAATTGTTCATTAAGAAAATCCTATTTGCTTATACACAGGTGAACATACTCCCCAAAGGTCTATAAAGTCTTGAATAAAGGACCTCTAAAAGCATGGCTGATAGAATATAATGATTTTTAATGTCATTTTTTAAAATGGTCCCTTTATTTGGTAATGGGATGTGCATTGCCAGAACCAGTAAACCAACAAACATGTCTAAGTCACCATTTAGCTTTTCTTTAGTAGATGATACAGTCTGCGCCTTTGGACATTTCTGTTGTTTCTAACCCCTGTGCTTTGGTTCCCTTTTTTGTTTTGTTTTTATTTTGTTTTTCCTAGACAATGGAGTCAAGGAGATAGAACCTTATGAAGGTCTGTACATAAAGGAGGGTTTGTTTTGTGCTAATAGCCTTTTTGGGGGGCTATGTGAGCAAAAATAAACCCAACTGCAATTGATGTTCCTTCACTGTATAGACTTTTATTACAGCAAAATTATTTTGTTTTGTGATTCTGATAAAGTGTTCAATTTTTGTTTTACTTTGAAAATATACAAAGGAGTTACATTTCTTTGATTCAGTCAAGTAAGAACACAAAGAATTTAGCTTCTTTTCAATCACAAGGTAAAATTTCTTTTTTTAAAAAATTTGCTTTGACATAAAATTTTATATTTTGTGGAAGACTTTAACCAAAGATGTCAATTGCAGTCTGTGTTTATGTCATTGAGGATATACACCTAGTCTAGTTATAATTATCATCATATTTTATTTTGTGTTTATGATGATTTTTTAATTATTCAATTTGGCTTTCTAGAAAAGGAAGTTTTTTTAATTAGATAGTGATTATGCTTCATATTTCCTGCATCAATTTTTATGTTATAGCAAGACTGTTTATAGTATAATAAAGTTAAATATGTACAGTTTTGTTATCAATGCTACATTATGGATCAAGAGGAAAAATATTGAGTCTTGCTATATGGAATGTCATACATTTACCAAGACAATAAAAATTCCTCTGCTGATTATAGAATTCTGCAGATGATGTTGTAACTTTGAAGAACTGTCAGCTATTTTATTTACTGGTGGATCTCAGCACATAGAATAATGCCTGGCACATTGTAGGCTCTCAATAAATATTCGTTGAATGAATGCATGTAATATTTATTTACAAATTGAAAAGCTACTTCAAGTAGTATAGAAAGTACCATTAAAATAAACTTATCATTCTATATATGTTTATAGTAAAACTCATATTTCTATAACCTATTGGTAACATATTTTTAAGTGTATTGCATTTGGGCAGCAGTACTTTTATTGCCTTACATAACTCAAAACAAGCTGTATTCTTGTTAGTTGCAGTTGAACAATTTATCAACTCCTATTTTGTGGTCCTTTTTATTTGCTGTGTACTATGAACTATAATTTTAAACAACTCAGCACTATTGTGATGGTTATACAGCCTGATAAAAAGATTTTAGCAGCATTACTATAGTTCTCTATTATTTACATAAATATAGGAGCATGTAGTTTTAAAAGTACTTTCCATAAGGGAATTTCTATAATATATATGGAATTTTTTGTCTCCTCTCCCCACAAATTTTAAAGATAGAGTTTTGGCATCATCTGTTGTCGTATGAAGTCAGAAACACAGTTTATGTCATAATTTTTTCTAAATTCAATTTTGATATCTTCAGTAGCAATATTCTATTGAGATATGAGTGCTCCATCCTTTGTAATAATAAATATACCAGAAAACTAACATTAGAGCTGATACTTGACATTTTTAATGAGCTTGTCAACAAACATTCTATTTACTGTCTGGCTTTTGCTCTATAGAATGTATTAAAACTATAGTTTTCCTTTAATGTCCCTAATTGTGTCTTTTCCATTTTTATAAATGAAAGAGAGCAAAAAAACTTCTTTTATTCTTTCCAGTATAAATTAAAATGATTTGGAGGGGGTTTGATTTTTTGTTTTGCTTAAGAGTGTGGATGATTGTAGCAGTGTTTTCATAAATATTAATATGAAGACTCCAGCAAATACATGATTGTATCATTTAGTTTAGCTTTAATGGCTATATATATTCTACTTTTCTAACCGAAGTTAAAGGTATAATGCAAAATTGACTATTAATTAATGGTCTAAATTAAATTATATTTGGATTATCTCTTTAAAAGTTGTCAGACATTATAATTCAGTGATTATTTTAGAATCAAAGTAATGGCATGTTTATCTTCTGATTCTGTTCAATAGCTGAAAAATGAGAATGTCCTAGTTTAATTCTTTTTGACTTGGAATATAGTTGTCTATATCTTAATTAAAGTAATTAAAAGCCTTATATGTGTTGGTCTTGACAGTGGTACAATATTGTCAAAATCTGAGAGTCAGAGAAAATGGAAACAATATAAAGAAAGTACGATGTACTAAATACCTGTAAGACATTATTATTTTTAATTTCCCCCAACTTTGATGTACTTCAATTTATAAAAATAAGAATGAGTTTATAATGTTGGCTTTTTGTTTCTCTAGAAGAAAAGTTATATTATTTTTGTAAGAATATATCATTTACAGATGAAGTATTTTGCCTTTCTTACAGTTGTTATGTATTACAGATGATTATGGCCCACAATTACTTTTACAAATCGAAGTTATCATAAAAGGCGACAGTATGATAACTTATTCACAGCATACTTACTTGTTTCCCTAACATGTCAGAAACTTGTTAAAAAATAATCTATTCAATTCCTTATAATCACTCATTGTATCATGAATAATTTGACAGTTTTTGTTTTATTTTGTTGAGGAGTAACAGATGTACATGTCTGGCCTTATCCTTTTCTTTACTTGTGCATATACAGAAGTTAATGAAGAAAGTAGACATGTGGAAGAGCAGGTGGGAGAAAAGCAGGGTGAAGAGGTCGAAGCAGGTCTGTCTGTGCTTGAAATAAATAATCGAGCGTTTTAGAAGTGTGACTTTCCTATTTCATGTAAGGCTTTAGGCTCCAGATTTATAATCTGGAATAGAGAACAGATCGTTCAGTCCTACTTTTTAAAAATTACTTAATTTTATTTATGAAGAGGTATTACATGAGTTATCTAGGTAACTTATCAGAATATTTAATTTACCTGTTTGAACATTCTCCTTGTTGTTTAAATCAAACTGAAATTATAGACAATGCATCTGACCAAGATTTATACTTATCCTTTACCCCAGCTTTACATTCAGTTCATGCAGTACCTACTGAAAGACTGTATTTTGCCACGTGCTTCATTGAGTGCAAATACATTGAAGTCCTAGATTCTCTTCTCAACAAGGTTGATTTTTTAGAGATAAATTACAAGTAAATATAGGGAAGAATATTAATTCCAAAATTTTAGTTTTTGAAACTTTTAGAAACCATCATAATTTATCCATAAAATTTTCTCTACAGTAAGATGAGGGACGGACTCCCCTGGTGATCTAGTCGTTAAGAATCTGCCTTGCAATGTAGGGGATGTGGGTTTGATCCTTGCTTGGGGAACTAAGATCCCACATGGCATGGGGCAAGTAAGCCAAATGGAAAAAAAAAGAACAATTAACTGTAGGTTCCTCTTTATCCCAGCTCAGTATTGCTCTAATATTTATTGACAATCCTAATTTCTCTTCAAAGAGTCCTCCTTCTAAATGGAATGAGGACACTTCATTTTGGTGTTTTTAAGCCATTATGTTTGCATATCATAATTTTTGCTTTATCAGATGTTTATGAGAGGATTTAGCTCGTCAGTATATTGTGCTCATGAACAGTTGTGTGGATTTCATGTGCCTTTTCTTCTCTCCTTTATCTTGTGTGAAAGCAGTGCCACTCTGCATATCGTGCATAAGATGTTTTCATGGGTGCATTCTTGCAGTAGTGATTGTAGTCTAAGACAGAAAACCTCTTAAGCTGCAACTACTGATTTTTAGTAATGATTTTTAATGTTATAAAGACAAGAAAAATTATCAGTGTTGATCTGGTCATGGAAACAAAAGCAAGTTTAGATTCATAGATATAGAAAAGTGTAAGTATGTCTGTTCTGAACATTTCAGATACTAACTACTAGAATGTAACACATCTTCCATTTTCCTGAAGTGCTTTAGGAATAGCTTTTTTAGGGAATACTGTAAGAATGAGTTTCATTTTAATTTAGCTGTATAGTTAATGTTTTCCTGCTTGCCCATTCCTATATTTCTGAAACTAGTCCATATAAATACTGAAAGTCTTTCGATACTGTTCAAGAATTGGCTTTTGCAGTAAAGTCATTGTTTAGGATATCATTAGTTTGGGGACGTCAGCAGTAGTTCATTTTACTTTTATTTATTTTCAACTTAATTATAAAGAAACCCATTCATTGAGTCAGTTTGTCACCTATGCATGATTCTCAAAGAAAACTTAAGTAGTAAATTATATTCATTCTTAAATTAGAATGAACCCATAACTGTAATCTTCCTAACTTATTATAAAATGACTTGTTATTCTTCATTTTATTTTTATTATTTTTAT